CTCGAGCGGTTTCCGCCGAAGACGCGTTCTTCGTCGATCGAAATCTTCGGTAACGCCAGCCTGGTTCGGTAAACGAAAATATTCGTACGATGTGCGCGACGTATTGAGATTTCGGGGATGATCTCTCGTAAGCGATTATCGCGATTTGGACGACATATACGGATCGACTATTTTTTCGTACGACAATAGATTTCGAATATGGTTTCGCGGATGCTCGTATGTACACGTAGCAGGTAGGTCAACGTATATTTAAAAAATATACATACACAGCGTCAAGACAATTCGTATTCTTCGTTCGCACATACTCGAAGAACAAAACGTACTAATTCGCATAAATATAGGGCGCAGCAATTGGCCTCGCCCCACGGTTACCGGCTCCTGCTACTTTATTCGGTATTCGGTATCAGTCGATTACGAGTCGTTTAACAGACCCTACCGCCGATAACTTCGTTCCCGACTAGGTTGTCGATATTTTGAGGAGGACGATGGCCACGGACGACGATGGAAACTCCGCCGGACATTCGCGAAGGGTGTCTCGCCGTGTTCGCGTAAACAGAAGGAAACGATGTTTCGCTTTGGGATTGGAAGATCTCGCGGAACGCGTCGGGACGCAGGATTTCTCCCGATTTCTCCTGGTTTCGGGAGGTTTGTTCCCGCGCAAGGGATCCGGTATCACGGTCGAAGCCGAGGGGAAGGAGGCTCTTCCGGGGGCTCAACATACACACTCCACCCCCGGTAGGCGGAGTGTACCGCCTACGACTAACCCCCACCGCCGACCGCGGCACTGATACGCGATATCAGCGAACACTTGTTGCTCCAACGTATAGAGATTCTGTCCTGGCCGCGCCAACGAGCGCACCGTGCCGCGCCGCGCCGCGCTCCGTTCGACCGCGATTTTTCACGCGCTGATTTTTCCACCACCCCCCACCCCCTCCTACATCGCGCGCCGCACGCACACGAGCACTCGCACGCCGCGCGAACGCGCCAGCCCGATCGCGACGTACAGGCACACGCGCGAGCCACCTTGCTCTGTCGCGCACGCTTCCGTTTCATCCCCCTTGGCCATTTCCACCTTCCTTCCACCTTCCGTCAACAATTTCCAGCTGGATTCAATTATCGACCGCCGTAGCACGCGACTATATCCGATTCGAAGACACGAACGGACGTATTTATCGATCCCAGGAGATTCGAATCCGTATCGGCGTAAGCGATATTTTTGAAAATGCTCGCTTTTGCATCCACGAACGTGATCTACGTACAGATGCGAAAATGTTGTAACGATAAAATAAACGATGAAGTTGCTATCAATTAATCGAACTCCGAATTGTTTTAACAACCAATTTTGGTCAGCGAACGATACGCGTGTTGGTAAACTAATATCGTCAGAGTTTCACGTAACGTGAAGGAAAATTTCGCTCGCGCGCGCACAGCTGGCGAGACTGAAATCGTTGAAAATACGTTCAATTGTTGCAGGCAGTGCGGTGGCTGCAGCCGACACCATTTCCGCGCCGTGGACTCCAGCGAGTTCCGGGCCGCCGCCCGACGCGAACGGCTCCGGCTCGGATACCAAGAACCTCGACGTTGGTGAAATTAGCGATGTAAGTTACAATTATCCGCAGTTCCTGCAATGTTTCGTCGATTCTCTTTCGTTCTTCAACTCGTTCTTTTTAGAGATCGTGCAGAATTTTCAGATCAAACGCGCGTGTTATAGAGTAATGTCTCCCTTACTGACGCTCAGGTTGCGCACAGAAATGGACAATTTGGGAAGAGGAGATACGATTATTCGAATATTATAGCCTCGCGGCTCGTTTTTATAATTGTGGATAATTTATAACTATACAAATAAACCGCAAGGCTCGAATAATCGTATCTCCTCTTCCCAAATTGTCCATTTTCGTGCGCGCAATCTGGGCGTCAATTAGAGAGACATTACCGTATATCGAAAAGAAGCAAAGAAAAAAGAGAAGAAATGATACGATAGGAGATAAAGTAAGCGATCGAGATATTTAAATAATGTAAAAACGGAGAAAATAAAAATGAATACAGTAATGTCTCCCTTACTGACGCTCAGATTGTCCCCAAAAGTGGATAATTTTGGAAGAGGAGATACGATTATTCGAGCCTTGCGGCTCATTTCTATAATTATGGACGATTTATAACTATAAAAATAAACCGCAACAGGCTCGAATAATCGTATCTCCTCTTCCCAAATTGTCCATTTTTGTGCACAAACTGGCCGTCAATTAGAAAGACATTACTGTATAGAAATGTCTCCCTTACTGACGCTCAAATTGTCCATTAAAATGGATAATTCGGGAAGATTAGATACGTTTTTTCGAATATTAAGTCTTGCGGCTCGTTTTTATAATTGTGGATAATTTATAACTATAAAAATAAACCGCAAGGCTCGAATAATCGTATCTCCTCTTCCCAAATCGCCATTTTGGTGCGCGCAATCTGGGCGTCAATTAGAGAGATATATTATTGTATATCGAAAAAGAGCAAAGGAAAAAGAGAAAAAATGATACGATAAAAGATAAAGTAAGCGATCGAGATATTTAGTAATGTCAATACAGTAATGTCTCCCTTACTGACGCTCATATAGTCCCCAAAAGTGGATAATTCGGGAAGAGGAGATACGATTGTCCGAGCACTGCACCTAGTTTTTATAACTGTTGACAATCGATAACTATAAAAATGAGTCGCAAGGCTCGAAGAATCGTATCTCATCATCCCAAAATTGTCCAATTTTGTGGACAATCCGAGCGTCAATTAGAGAGACATTGCCGTACTTCTCGCAGACTTTTACCAGTCGTTCCGTCGTTCCCGATGCGGTTTATTTCATCTCGTCGATGGGAATCATCGAGCAATCGAGAGCGAGCGATTTAAATACCTACTGGGTGAAAATTACCCGGCCACCGCAGCGCGAGGCTCGACAATTTATCGCTCGGGTTTATCGATCGCCGATGCGCAAAAAAAGGTTTATCTCGCGCACGATTCGCAATTCGCCGCGCGAAAATGCTCTCGGGCCGAGCCACGTCGCTCGCGTCGGCCGGAAGGAAATTCGTTGGAATCGGAAAAGAACGACGTTTACGATTCGAGCGAAATTGATTCCGGCCGGCGAATCGAACGATCGACGAATTGCCGCGTTCCCATATTTTTCAGGACGAGAAGGACTTATCGGCAGCGGACGCGGAGGGTGTGTGGTCGCCGGATATCGAGCAGAGCTTCCAGGAAGCCCTCACTATATATCCACCATGCGGCCGACGCAAAATCATCCTGTCCGACGAAGGGAAGATGTACGGTGAGTCGAACAATTTCCTGGCAAATCTCTTTTCGATGTTTCCCTCGGGGATGAAACCACCATCGGCAGCCTCTCTAGACCTCTAAATATAATTGCGAGGGAGCTTCCGCGCGTGCGCTTCGCCGACGACGGGAACAACTTTTAAATGGATTTCGTTCCGGATGGCCCGACGAAAGTTTCGACGAAACCGGTCGTCCCGTTCTCAAAGCATTCTCGAAGCAAATTCAAATTCGTTTACTCGAACGACGAACAACGTCGATCCTACGAAGCGATACGCCGCGCGATTCCTCCGGATAGCCTTCTCGGTTTCGTTCGGAGAAGGCGTACAAATAATAATACGGAACAACGTTCATTACGCGCGGATCAAAATTAATCGGAAGAAAAATGTCCCGAATAGCTGAAAAATAAAACGCGATTTGTTCGATCGACCGAGCCCGTTTCCCCCCGGATCTACTACGCGTAATTCGCGAACGTTGTGTCTAGAGAGTACAGTAATGTCTCTCTAATTGACGCTCCACGAAAATGGACAATTTGGGAAGAGGAGATACGATTATTCGAGCCTTGCGGTTTGCTTTTATATTTATAAATTGTCCACGATTATAAAAACGAGCCGCAAGGCTCGAACAATCGTGTCCCCTCTTCCCAAATTATCCAATTTAGTGGACAATCTGAGCGTCAGTAAGGGAGACATTACTGTACGCGGAACAACGTATAGTCCTCGCGCGACAAGAAGGCGCCTTTGCGCTTATATTCCCCCACCCCCGCAACCTTATTAGCTGCCTCACTGCCGCGGCACTCGATCGCTGTTGGCCGAGAACGGCGGCGAAGATCGTCGTCGGTCGATTCATATTATTCGGGAAGCGCGAAGAGATTCGATTATTTCATAATTTTTACAGTAACGTCTCTCTAATTGACGCTCCACGAAAATGGACAATTTGGGAAGAGGAGATACGATTATTCGAGCCTTGCGGTTTGCTTTTATATTTATAAATTGTCCACGATTATAAAAACGAGCCGCAAGGCTCGAACAATCGTGTCCCCTCTTCCCAAATTATCCAATTTAGTGGACAATCTGAGCGTCAGTAAGGGAGACATTACTGTACGCGGAACAACGTATAGTCCTCGCGCGACAAGAAGGCGCCTTTGCGCTTATATTCCCCCACCCCCGCAACCTTATTAGCTGCCTCACTGCCGCGGCACTCGATCGCTGTTGGCCGAGAACGGCGGCGAAGATCGTCGTCGGTCGATTCATATTATTCGGGAAGCGCGAAGAGATTCGATTATTTCATAATTTTTACAGTAACGTCTCTCTAATTGACGCTCCACGAAAATGGACAATTTGGGAAGAGGAGATACGATTATTCGAGCCTTGCGGTTTGCTTTTATATTTATAAATTGTCCAGAATTATAAAAACGTGCCGCAAGGCTCGAACAATCGTGTCTCCTCTTCCCAAATTATCCAATTTAGTGGACAATCTGAGCGTCAGTAAGGGAGACATTACTGTACGCGGAACAACGTATAGTCCTCGCGCGACAAGAAGGCGTCTTTGCGCTTATATTCCCCCCACCCCCACACCCTTATTAGCTGCCCCACTGCCGCGGCACTCGATCGCTGTTGGTCGAGAACGGCGGCGAAGATCGTCGTCGGTCAATTCATATTATTCGGGAAGCGCGAAGAGATTCGATTATTTCATAATTTTTACAGTAACGTCTCCCTAATTGACGCTCCACAAAAATGGACAATTCGGGAAGAGGAGATACGATTATTCGAGCCTTGCGGTTTGCTTTTATATTTATAAATTGTCCAGAATTATAAAAACGTGCCGCAAGGCTCGAACAATCGTGTCTCCTCTTCCCAAATTATCCAATTTAGTGGACAATCTGAGCGTCGGTAAGGGAGACATCGCTGTATTTATTTATTCTCTTACGGGTGTGACCGGTTGGTATGGAAAAGGAATCGATATATTCGACTACACTATTATATGTACAGTCTACTACTACGTCGTTAAAATTGTTTCGTTGCATCGCGCTTGAACGAGGCGGTCGAGCGGGTTAGAATTCATACCGGCGTAAGCGACATTCTCGAAAATGTCGAAACGGCGGGCGAAATAAGCGATAAAGTTGCTATAACCGAACCCTGAATTATCGTGACGATAAATTTGGCCGGCGAACGACACGCTCGTTGGCGAACTACATATAATAGAAACGCTCCCTGTTTCTCGCAACGAGGAAAATCCGACTCGCGCCGCTACCATTCTAACCCGCTCGGTCGAAGACGCGAAAGAACATGCGAACTATCGGATGTGGATCTGATCTCAATTTTGGTTTCTTTCGTGGCCGGTAGAAGGTTTGGATTCGATAAGGAACAGTTTTATTCTAGGTAAGATGGGTAGCGTAGATATGGTCGTACAAATTCAATTCGTTGCACGAGCTTCTGTATCGGAGGAACCTGTTCTACAACGCGCTGCTTCTATCACTTAGACGTTTCGATAATATTTCATTTGGTAATTTGCTCGGAAGACCGTGGACTATGCATAATTTCTAGCAAAATTTTCAAGCCGATCGAGAAAGCGCGCTTCATCGCCCATTACCATCTTACTTCTAACAACACGGTGCGCGACGACCGTTTCGCGAACGATGGAAGCGATGGAAGCGATGGAAAGCGCTAAACTGTTCTCGGACAAAGATGTCGATCCGAGGGGGTATCTTTCGAAGTGTGGCGTTATTGCCTCGGGTTGGAGAGCTCGTGCCGGCCAGTTAACGGCGGCGACTACGGTGTTACCCGCGGTCTCGTAACAGGCAATATCTGCTCGGTCACGTATACCGACCTCGGCATCGAGCAATAACGATGTCCGTCCAGACGTTTCCACCAACGCGTTACTCCCGTTGCGTCGCGCATCCGACCGAAACTCTCTAGGTACAGTAATGTCTCCCTTACTGACGCTCAGATTGTCCACTAGATTCGATAATTCGGGGAGATACGATTATACGAGCCTTGCGGCTCGTTTTTATAATTCTGGACAATTTATAACTATATAAATAACTATGATAGCGGTATTGCCACGAGCTTTCGATATTGGTACACGTGCTTCCACGCGCGACTCTACAGGATGTCCCAAAAATGTCTTGCAATCCGGAAATGGCGGGTTCCTCGGATCATTTGAAGCAACTTCTTCCTTTGCGAAAATGTTCTTCGAGGCACCGTTAACGAGTTATCAACGAAAAACAGTGACCAATAAGAATCGAGTACGGCTGGCGAGGCGGCCCAGCCAACCAGCGCGCGAAATCCAGTTCCGCTCATTGGCTCGGTCGCCGCGCGCCGGCCGAGCTCGCCTCTCATTGGTCACTGTTTTTCGTTGATAACTCGTTAACGGTGCCTCGGAGAAAATTTTTGTAAAGGAAAAAGTTGCTTCAAATGATCCGAGGAACCCGCCACTTTCGGATTGCGAGACATTTTTGGGACACCTTATAGATACATTCATAGTTCCCTCCGTATGTACAGTAATGTCTCTCTAACTGACGCTCAGATTGTCTACAAAAACGGACAATTTGCGAAAAGGAGATACATAAAGAGGAGATAAACTGGACAATTTGGGAAGAGGAGATACGATTATTCGAGCCGTGCGACTCGTTTCTATAGTTCTTGACAATTCGTAACTATAAAAACGAACCGCAAGGCTCGAATAATCGTATCTCCTCTTCCCAAATTGTCCATTCTTGTGCGCGATCCGGGCGTCAATTGGAGGAGACATCACTGTACTTTCTGTTGCTTCGATTCCTAAATGGAAATCGAGAGCGGCAGCTAATAAAGGTATGCGTGGGAGCTCTTGGGAGAGATAAAAGAGGTTACCGCGCGATAACGTTTCACGGAACGAACAGAATCCTCGTTCCTAGTGCTGCATCTCTTCGGACGATCGGTCTTTCGCGGAGAAATCACGGGGTACGGGGCGTCGACGTTCCGATGGAAAAAGAAGAGCGAACCAACCGTGACGAGGTGACGGCGAGGAGAAGGAGGAGAAACGGGGGGAGAAGGGTTCGCGCGTGGACGTACCAGCAGTGCCAAGGGACGAAGCAGGAGGAGACGTGGCAAGAGGTACCTCGAGAACGAGGTAAATTGCCCCGAGATATTTAATCCTGGGGAAAGGCCGAGGGATCCTTTATTGGCTGGGCGAACGAACAACGGGCAAGATAAGTTTCCCCTAGGATCGATGGCCAATCGCGTTAAGCGATTTTCACGCCTCGTTATCCTCTATTTCCAATCGGTGGACGCCGACGACTCGGCCTGCTGTCGACGTCTCCGTTACCATTGTCGATGTTGTCGTTGTCGTCATCGTCGTCGTCATCGTCGTCGTCGTCCGTATAAATATCAGCTTCCGCAGACGTGTCGTAAGATGCTTCCGTTATCTCCGAATCCTCGGCGCATTCGTCGGATCGGATACAAAACACGAGAAGTCACCGATGAATATCGGTGAAGCGAAGCAACATCCGTACAGTAAGTACCTAAGTAAGTACCGAAAGCGGAGCAAAGGCGGATGAGAGTAAAAGAAAGCAACGGTACAGCAAAGAACTATCGAACAGTTTCACGACCGGTTTATTACAAAGTTGCGCTACCGTGCAGGTCGAGGCCATCGCTAGGCATACACTTACCGACAAAAGTTGGAGTCGTTGTAAAAACGCACGAGGAATCCTAGATTCCGATTTGCACGGTTAAACTGACCGCGTTTACGAGTGATTCCATCGATTCGCTCGACTCGAAAGAGCGTCGCGATCGCATTCGATGCTGAAACAGAGTCGGCGAATGGTTGCATTGGATATCGTGCTATCGTGCTGTTTCGTCGGGGTCGTTTCTAAATAGTCGCAATTAACCAATTCCGTGTTGTTTGTCAGAGGATAGCTCTGTAACGCGAAACACCGAAAATTCGTCTCGTGTAACGACGTAAACGGCCGCTGGTCGCATCGACGTTCGGCAATCGAACCGTGCCAATGGACTCTAGTTCCGA